GTTCAGCAGATAATTTTAATTCCTATAAGATAAATTTTAAAAGCAAGCACTTACTGCTATCCGTGTCAGGGATGCCTTGACTGCGCTCCATTTGTCCCGTCGTCTGTCTATGATGATGATGAATCCAATGCTGGCAGCCTCCAGACTGCAGAACAGAAGGAAAAAGTATGCTGGGTTACATGGAGATACTCCCGTTCCAAGGAAGTGCACTGCAGCAGAACAGCCTCTGTCAGATCACCCTCTAAACCCATTATGAAAATGCAACTTACAGGAGAAAGAATGATCTTTAGCAGAAATCCTTATGATAACAAAAGCCAGCAAATTTTCGCTTTCCAGGGGAAGGTTAACAGTGTGCACAAAACAGGAATATTTTATCTGCTCACTCTCTCAGCTGCTCTGCTGCAAAACCTAGGTGATACAAATAGCTCAAGATCAGGGATTACCCTGTGCTGTATTGAAGGCAAAACCCTCAGATCTTGTTTTCTCTGCAAAATAATTCAAGTTATTAGACACCCCACTTCAGTCTTCATTCTCCGAGTAGGCTGACATCCAACAGGGGCACTTAGCTCCAGGGAGTCAGTATCTCCCTACTGTCACCACCTTGCCTGTGTACACAACACCTCAGGAATTCTGATCAGACAAAGCAGGAATTGAAGAGATAGCTTGCAAAACACAAGCTGGTTCTAGGGTTGCAAGTCATTCAAAAGTATCCTTTTAACACACGGGCTAGAATAACAGTTACTACTCCTCCTCAGTGCTTTCAAGGAGAATCTATGAGGCACTGATTTGATGCTCCATCCCATGTATGCAGACCTCATAAATATCCCATGTACCCTCTCTCTCAAAAACCCCACTTCGGTGTGCAGGGTCACCTGGGTACATTGCTGGCTCATATTCAGCCAGCTGATGGTCAACACTCCCAGGTCTTTCTTTGCTGAGCAGCTTTCCAGCAGTGTTCTTCCCCAGGCTGCAGCATGGCATGGGGTTTTTGTGACCCAAGTGCATGACCCAGCACTTGGCCTTGTTGAACCTGATACAATTGGCCTTTGCCCATCAATCCAGCCTGTTCAGGTCTTTCCATCTTTCTATCCTTGAGCTGCTCAACACTCTCTCCCAACTTAATATTGTCTGCAAACTTACTGAGGGTGCACTTGATCCCCTCACCCAGATGATTGATAAAGATATTAAACAGAACTGGCCCCAGTACTGATCCCTAGGGAACACCATTTGTGACTGGCCACAAACTGTATTTCATTCCATTTACCACAAAGATCACAACTCTTGGTCTTTAAGGTCAAGAGAAATTGTATAAAATGTTTCCTTGCTCCTTTTTACGTTGCTCATACAAGAAGCATCTCAGGAATACCATTTTCATGGGTCATTTTGTACAAACTCATTTCAAGAATCCACTGAAAAGCACCAACAACACCAACTCTTGAGTTTCTACTGCAGCTTTGCAGAATCAAGAACAGCAACTTGGAAGCCAAAGTGTTGTGCAAGTCTAGAATGCTGTGCAACTGTTCCTAGTAGTTCATGCTGGTACTAGGAAAACTTGCTCAATTTCCCACTTCAATATTTTTACAACATTCCTCTGAGAATTACACAATGTAATGACAATAGATGACCTTTCCTCTTGAGTAGTGCAACATGCAGCTCTTTATGCAGAGGACAGAAAATGTGTTTGCAGCAGTATCTCCCAAGCACAGGGAAGATAATTTACCAGTTTCTCCTTTTATATGTATATAAATATATACATATTATTCAATAGTGTTCCAAGGAACTATTCACAGTTCTTCAAATTACCAGAAAAATGAGTAATGACAAGAACCATGTCCCACATTATGTTTCTTTGTCCTTGCAGGGAACAGGATTTGATGCAAATATCTGGTTAACCAGAATAAATACAGAAAATGTTTTTTGTGACTAATTATTCCAAGAGAACAATGTCACAATTCAACATCCATGTTGCTTACGATGTGTTATTGAAACTGGTCTATTGTTTAGAACAAAGTTATTAGTAATGTAGTAAGATGTGAAGGAGGACTTAAGTCAATGTAATCCTCCTTTCAACACTTAAGTTCTTAGATGACCTTGGAAAAAGCTGTCTCTTCAATATGCTCTATATTTGTTTTACAGCCTCATTTACTTTTGAGAACCATGTAAAAGCAGCAGGAAAACTGGAATGTTAGAGGACATAATTTGAATCAAATGGATCACCAAAGTTCCACCTCTAGTCAAAACAAAGAGAATATTGTTATCAGCATTTAATTATGTTTTGAGTTCATACAACCCATTTGTAGCTGGTGAATCTCTCACAATAATTGGACACATGGAATCAGATTCAAAAATTACACAATTCAACTGAAAAGAGTGATTTATTACAAAATGACTGAAGTAAGCGTGTTAGATGAAGTTAACAAAATGCTGGTGTTAGTCTAAAGAAATATATCATATAACTAGTATCAGGTTAATAAAAATGAGAAAAATCTGTTCTTCACAAAATGTATGATGTAGTATAACTACAAGGAACTATATCCATAAGCACCATATTCACACAAGCTGACAGCACATAGAAATTGCCCTGTTTTGCCCATTTGCCTAGTTTGAGAAACCAAAAGTTTTCCAAAAGGAGTGTACGTGGAGGATTGAAGGCCTAAAAGAGTTTGGAATCAGACCCTTATAATCACACCTTGGTGAGCAAACTGCAAGGGAAGTAACTGACAAAACAGTATCTGCCAAAAGCAGCAAGTACAACTGTGATTTAAGCAAACACAAAAGGATTTTTTGCCAAGTAAAACTTGCTTCTGTGCCCCAGAACTAACTGTTTAAGTTCCAAGGGATCTGCTGTTTTTTAAAGTACATGTCCATGATTGAGCAGTTAATTTTCTCAGATGTTTTTCTGCACAGGGTTTTGTATCAGCTCAAAAGCATCCAGGCAACACATGCAACACATGCAACACAAAACTAAATTAATAGATAATAGGAACAAAAGTTTATTAAATACAGACAGGAACAAGAATATGAAAGAGTGAAGCAGCAAGGACATTTTCTTATGAAATTAAGCTCAGCAAGAATGGCCATGGGGGTGAGGAGAACTGGGAATAGCAAACACATGGGACCGGGAGCATTGCTTATCAGTGGCCACTGCACATCACAGTGTTGCAGGCCAGTTAAAGAGACAGACTGAGGAAATGAAAGATTAAATAGATACTTCTATGACTTGGAATTAAATATAAGAGAGCAAAGGAGAGCAAAATACCACTGAGCATGCAGTCTAGCTGTCATGGGGTGCTACTCACAGCTCTCCCCCTCCATGACCAAGTATAGGAACTGCAGCTAGCAAAGACAAAACCTGCCAATCAGTCATGCCTGGCACAGGGGGCTAAGAGAAAAGCACAGGCCAGAATGCTTCATTACACACAGTGCAGGTACAATCCTAGCTGGAGAGGAGTATGAAGAACAAGCCAAGGCATGAGATTTAAGAGAGCTTTGTCAGGATAAAATGAGAATCAGGGCATTAAGCAAACAATTCAGGCACCTATTGCAGTATATATAACTTACAACATTGAACTTACTGCACTGACTGACATTAAATGGGTAAAAAACGGAGAACTGACTTAAAACTTACACAGTCTGAAGAAGGAGAAAAAGAGTGGGAAGATGAAAAAACAATATGCTGCTGAAAGGCAAAGTAGCTGAGCAGAGCACAGAAGAAAATGTGGGAGAATATCTGTATTACTCAGAATTACTCTAGCAGACTATGCAAAGGTGAGCAGCAAGAAACCATTCAGATATATACTCTGTAGATCTTAGCTGCTACCAGTTAATGGATGCAACATGACAAGTGTCTAGACAAAAGAGGTACCTTTGGACAACAGAAAACTTGTAATGTGCCTGTAGTCCTGACAGAAGGCTAGCCCTCAGCCTTCTGCAATGTTATTCCCTGTTTTTCACCTTGATGTTCAGGATGGTGTCAGTTGTCTTCACTGAGATAAGCCAAGGGTATTTGGATATTTGGTCTTCTGCTTTGGTTGTGTGGGGTTTTTTTACTAGATATGACTGATTTAAGACCTAACCTTAGCAAGGGAAACAGGGAGTGTCAGCAAGTGATTCTATTTCAGTCAGCACTGAAACAAAAGGCCATGCCAAGGTCTGAATGTTATTTGGCACTAAGGGATGGATGCAGGCAAACAGCCGTGGCAGGAAACCTAGCCATGGTAGCAGCATCAATACAAGTAGATTAGAAATTGCCCTGTTTTGCCCATTTGCCTAGTTTGAGAAACCAAAAGTTTTCCAAAAGGAGTGTACGTGGAGGATTGAAGGCCTAAAAGAGTTTGGAATCAGACCCTTATAATCACACCTTGGTGAGCAAACTGCAAGGGAAGTAACTGACAAAACAGTATCTGCCAAAAGCAGCAAGTACAACTGTGATTTAAGCAAACACAAAAGGATTTTTTGCCAAGTAAAACTTGCTTCTGTGCCCCAGAACTAACTGTTTAAGTTCCATGATTGAGCAGTTAATTTTCTCAGATGTTTTTCTGCACAGGGTTTTGTATCAGCTCAAAAGCATCCAGGCAACACATGCAACACATGCAACACAAAACTAAATTAATAGATAATAGGAACAAAAGTTTATTAAATACAGACAGGAACAAGAATATGAAAGAGTGAAGCAGCAAGGACATTTTCTTATGAAATTAAGCTCAGCAAGAATGGCCATGGGGGTGAGGAGAACTGGGAATAGCAAACACATGGGACCGGGAGCATTGCTTATCAGTGGCCACTGCACATCACAGTGTTGCAGGCCAGTTAGAGACAGACTGAGGAAATGAAAGATTAAATAGATACTTCTATGACTTGGAATTAAATATAAGAGAGCAAAGGAGAGCAAAATACCACTGAGCATGCAGTCTAGCTGTCATGGGGTGCTACTCACAGCTCTCCCCCTCCATGACCAAGTATAGGAACTGCAGCTAGCAAAGACAAAACCTGCCAATCAGTCATGCCTGGCACAGGGGGCTAAGAGAAAAGCACAGGCCAGAATGCTTCATTACACACAGTGCAGGTACAATCCTAGCTGGAGAGGAGTATGAAGAACAAGCCAAGGCATGAGATTTAAGAGAGCTTTGTCAGGATAAAATGAGAATCAGGGCATTAAGCAAACAATTCAGGCACCTATTGCAGTATATATAACTTACAACATTGAACTTACTGCACTGACTGACATTAAATGGGTAAAAAACGGAGAACTGACTTAAAACTTACACAGTCTGAAGAAGGAGAAAAAGAGTGGGAAGATGAAAAAACAATATGCTGCTGAAAGGCAAAGTAGCTGAGCAGAGCACAGAAGAAAATGTGGGAGAATATCTGTATTACTCAGAATTACTCTAGCAGACTATGCAAAGGTGAGCAGCAAGAAACCATTCAGATATATACTCTGTAGATCTTAGCTGCTACCAGTTAATGGATGCAACATGACAAGTGTCTAGACAAAAGAGGTACCTTTGGACAACAGAAAACTTGTAATGTGCCTGTAGTCCTGACAGAAGGCTAGCCCTCAGCCTTCTGCAATGTTATTCCCTGTTTTTCACCTTGATGTTCAGGATGGTGTCAGTTGTCTTCACTGAGATAAGCCAAGGGTATTTGGATATTTGGTCTTCTGCTTTGGTTGTGTGGGGTTTTTTTACTAGATATGACTGATTTAAGACCTAACCTTAGCAAGGGAAACAGGGAGTGTCAGCAAGTGATTCTATTTCAGTCAGCACTGAAACAAAAGGCCATGCCAAGGTCTGAATGTTATTTGGCACTAAGGGATGGATGCAGGCAAACAGCCGTGGCAGGAAACCTAGCCATGGTAGCAGCATCAATACAAGTAGATGTACCACGGAGAAATTCCACTCATGTGTCCATCCAGAGAAAGGAAATTTGTTTAAAAACAAACACACATACACTCTATCAATGTTTTCTCAGGGTCAGTACTGTATTATCTCTATCCCCATCATGGAAATGCAGTGGGGTTTCTCCAGTTCTCTGAAAAGAGGGATTTGAAGACAATCCTGCAGAGCAGATAAACATCAAGCTCATCTTCAAATAAAATTGTGGTATATTTGCCTAGATCTACAGATGTCTGGCACAGAGGTTCCCCTTCTCTGAATGAAATGTGTATAATCAGTGTAGCTGTTCCATCCTCAGCTCTGAATTCAGGCCTCAAACACTGATTGGAGGAGATCAAGAGATGTCAAATTTCCCAGCCTCTTCTGGAAGGACAGTAGGGCATCTGCTTATCAAAATAGTTTATCTATGTGAATTGAAAGATAAAATAATTCTGGTCTTGGAATAAAGCAAATATATGAGTGCTTTCTGGAGCTCTCTATTGTAAGTGTGCATGTATAGAGGTATGCCTGTGTATACACCATGTTGCTCAATGTTTGTGGTTGTGTATGCATGTAGACCCCTTTGGTGGAGCACTCTCATGAGCTGGTGTTGAACCAGATGGAAGATTAATCAAATTTAAGAAGTCTCACTGGGATGAACTTCCATCCTGGAAAGTAATTATATTTTAAAGCCCAGAAGTGCAAGGTCTACTTACAGCCCACCTCAAAATACTATAGCATGCCTCTAGTATTTGCTAGTAAAGCATATTTGCTCAGCACCATGAGCAAGAAGATTAATCATTCCAGAGGGACTTAGAAAGTTACTAACTCACTGAATGATGTCATTTGTGATGATAGTTGTGGAGATGAGATCTATCATGAACCTTATTCTACAGGACACATAGAAAAAGACACTACAGAAGACAGATACTCTCTCTACATTTGCCTGGGAAATTATGCTGAATTCTCCAGCTAACTAAGCTATGAACAAGGAAGTATTTTCTATGACATCTTATCCGATTCATGGCTGTTCCCCTTGTAACTCTACAAGAGATAGAGACTATTCTCTTTCCTTAGTCACTTTGTTTGATACTACAGACAGGCTTACCAAAACTTGTTTTGAGTAAGTGACTATTCAGTTTGATTTAAATGACCTGTTCAAGGTCAGTCACCAACTGGGATTTGAACTCTCATTTTCTGTGTACCAGGATGTTAGTTTGACTATTAGTTTTAATCATAGATCACACATGGTGGGATGTGAGTTTTCCAGGGAGTTTGCTTGTCTTCGCTACAGTGTTTCTAGAAGGATTGGCCACATTTCTTAGGTCACTACTTGAAACTTGCCAGTCTTCTCATAGATGGTGAGGCACAAAGATATTGATTTAGAAGAAGAACCTGAGCAGCAAGCTTTGGTTGTATGATTTATTAACATAGCATAAATAGTGGTTCTGTTTAGTTGCAGCAGAGCCTTGTTAATCTGCAGTTGGCTGGTCTATGCACAGAGTGTTCCTGTCATGCATCTCAGAAAGCAGTAGAGGGACTGATTTGTTACTTTCATCAGCCATACATCTTCAGCTAGAGTCTGCATCTGAGCCATTGTGTTCAGCCGCCTTTGAGGGAGCTATCCTTCAGGAATTTGACTAACTTCTTTTGAACACACCTGTACTTTTGGCTTTCACACAGGCCAAAGAAGCATAAAGCATTTCTGCCTATCATGTTGACAATGTAACATGCTAGTTCCCCAATACAATACCAAATACAAAGAACTGGCAAACTAGTTTTGTGTTTTTCTCAGCTGCTATTGCTGTTTTATTAACCCCAAAGCTGGTCATCCTCCTAGTCCCAAAGCTAGCGAAGAAATAGGTAAAACAGAGTTTCTTCTGGCAGAACAAAGGCTCTACAGAGCAGAGTGAAACAATAAAGCTGTTAAGTTCTCAGTGTGTGGTTTCTCTCAGCTTGCTTTGGCAACTTGGTATGGGGAATATATGTGGGTGAAGCTGGAAAACTTCTTACTCAGACTTGAAGGAGGCACGTTTTTCCCCTCATCATCCTCTAAGCACCTTTATAACACAAAACCACAGGAAATAATAAATCCCTGCTGTGCTTCTGACTAGCACAAATGGCCATGGTCCAGAGACAGGATCAGGGGACTGAAAAAATATTAAGCTCTTTTTGGATAAACAAGAAGTAATTCAGCAGCCATGCCTTAGTGCATTTCCTCAGAGCAGTGGAAGTGAGTTTGTTTGACTCTCCTTGCAGGCCAACAGCAAGGAAAACATCCTGGCTGTGGAGTGATCTCCCAGTAAATGAAGCATCAGAAAGCACACGGTGCTTGCCAGAATCCTGTCAACAGGGCACATAGATTGTTTTTTTGAAAAAGAGAAAACTTGCACAGGAAGATGCACTCAGAGAATAAGCAGTAAAAGGGCAAATAAGCAATTGGTTCCCTCCGGCAGCTACCCTTCCCTTGTTAAATCCAGTACCTCAGTTCTCACAAATAGCCCCTCATAGCTCCCTTTTGACCTGCTTCTTTACTGTTGCTCTTCAGATCTAGACATCCCCACACCTAGTTCATGACCTGAACAGAAAACCTGTCCAGTGCAAAGCCTTTTTCCCCTTAAAAATTTGTGAGTGGTTTCTAAGGCCTCCTGTACATACAAAAATTTCATACTGACTGGATGGATGCATCCTGGTAGCACCACTAAAAGCAGTGAGCCACTAGGGAGGCAGAGCTCTTCAGGAAATCAGCAGGCATTTGTGCTTAGCCTCACCTGGGAATGCTGGTTAGGTATGTGACCACATTCAGAAAATCTTCATCAGGTATGTCACTGAATCCTGCAAATTCTGGAAAAGTTATAATAGGTGCCCCATCCTTGCCTCTTCCTCCTGCAAAAGAGAGTTTGTAATGATTAGAGGGTGATGACATCCTCTGGGTAGACTAGTCAGTACTCAGATGGGAAACATTGGCACATCTCATTGAAAAGCACCCAGATCCAGTATTCATGTGATCAGCTTCCCATTTGATATTATAACTCACTGCAGTTTAATTACCTCAGTTTACTCAAGCTGAGATTCTAGCCTCTGCTGTTTATTCTCAGCTTTTTCATGAACCTCCTGCAAAATTCTGATTAAGAAGGTTCTTTGGCTCTTTCTTTCATTTCCAAATAATTCCTTGTGATATTACAGCACTTTCCCTATGTACAGGTACAGCACTCTCCCATTCCCTCTAGACATTAAAGGAAATGAAGCAATACAGCACACAGTCTTTAAATAAACACACGTAATCCATCACACAAGCCTCAGATAAATCCAGTCTTAGGCCTTTCCTTAATAAAAAACCCACTCAAAATGCATGGAGTATTTAATCAGGGAGTTTGCTCGTCTTATTTGTTTGCATCACGTTTCTATTGAATATGAGAAGGAAGGTCATAAGAAGCAAGGTCAAGAAGAGTTCCTGTCTGAGGGACACTCTGATCCAAATAGCAGTACTAAAACATGGTCAGAGCTATGGGAAACACGGAGCCAAGACTTCTACAACTCAGCAGCCTTTACAGTTATCCTGGCACAATGCTCAGCTCTAGAATATGTTGTAGTGGACAGCACAAACCCTGTTTACTTGCAGGACCAATACTAACTTGAGTCTGTTAATAAATCTGCGTGTCACTCAAACCACACAGAAGTTAAGAGGAGTTTTCTCACCAATTTTGACTAAAAGCCAAGAGCACACTAATGAGGCAGCAGCAGATAAAGGAATACAATGAAACAAAGCTTTTGTTACAGGTACCTTATTGCCTAGTGCTGCCTAGGGTACTAAAGTCATTATTTTTTCCCAAGTCTCTCTCCACCCTCTGCAATCTCCATGCAAGCCTATTTTTTGCACCAGGCTAAAGAATTCTCTCCAATTCCAATATGGAGTCTAGTCTTGCAGAATGACAGTTTTCCTAGTAATTCATAACAGGTTTCCTAGCCATTTATAACCCACAGAAAATTTTTGTTCAAGGAATATGTCCCCCTTGGTGAAGAGGAAGCTCTGAGACAGAGACAAAATTTCCCACACCTTCTTTAAGGAAAATATCCAATAAACTATCCCGATAAAAGCATGGGAGGAAACAGTTTCAGGGGGAAGGAAAGAAGAAAAAGAAAAAAACCACAACAAAAAACAAGCCCTCATTCCTCAAAAGTACCCCCTAAATCCTTGCAAATAAATCCTGTTTCCAGGCTGCTCCCATAGACCATTGCCTTTCCCTGCTGATAAGCACAGCTGATGCCACAAGCCAGTTGCTTCTGCTACTGCTTTGGTCATCATTGCACAGAGGTGCTCCAGTAATTCCTAACTATTTCTGTCTAGAGTGGTCAGACCCTTGCTAGTCTTGACTGTGACTCTTCCAGACTCAGTTGTATTATTTAAGGTTCCCTTGCTAGTCTTGACTGTGACTCTGCCCAACTCTTCCAGACTCAGTTGTATTATTTAAGGTCCCTTCTTTGTTGTCCAGCTACAGAGATCTGGGACACTGAGGAACACAATGTTTGCATGAAGTAGAAGTGAGAGCTCTAGAAAATTGGAACTTTGAACAAGGAAATCATTTTTCTTCTTGACATCTAATGACACGTGGCTTGACAAGGTCCTGCAGTCCTCACAAGGACTTTACCTTTAGCCCCTATTTTCCTTTCTGAAGGTCGATCATTGCTTTAATTGCATCTGAAAATGACTCAGTTATGTTAGTTCATCCACTGACTAAACTCACCCTGTTCGGGGCAGGGGGGGAAAGGCCTACTGAGATTCAAAAGGCTTCCAGCCAACATGCAAAGAAGGAATCCTATCGTTCATACTGCACTGAATTGGATTTTAAATGCTGGGCAGAGTCACTGCCTCCACACTGACCTCAGCATAAGGCCAAATGCTGATGCACAGCAGCTTGATCTCAGGACACTCTGGCCGCATGATCTGCAGTCAGCAGTGACACAGAATATGCTGACATGTGTATTCAGTCAGACTTTGCCCAGACTGCTGCACTCTAGAAACCAGGAACTTCAAACAGTGGGTATCCAGTCAGGATGGTTTGTTACAGATTCTTACTGACATCTTCTGGGTGCAAACAGTAATGGCCAGGAAAATGAAACTGCCTGTCTGCTCTCTCTCTCTCTTCTTGCAGAGTCCAGTGCATGCCAAGGTATTTCACAGACAATAACATGTGCACATTCACAGGGCTCCTGGGCACCACACCTTCCCTGTCACCTATTTCAGCTATGTGAAAATACCCTAAACAAGGGAGATAGAGTAACCTGGAATATTTTGGTTTAAAGCAGCAATATTTGCCCCTAAAGGATAAAATAAAGATTTCCCTGGTTCCCCTTCTTCAACACCTAATAGTTCACCTGCAGTTATACTCAAGTTTTTTTTAAACCATGAGTTTCACATGGCACTTCTAGTGGTCCTGCTGACCAGGGTATCTTTGTGTTCCTTTTATCTTCTCTTGCATCCACATTCACACATGTGCTCTTCTTCCCATGGTCTCTTAGTCTCTTTTTTCTGGAGGCAGGCTGGGGACACACTGTATGTATGCGTTGTGTATTTTTTGTCACAGGAGGTTTTCCTATAAAAAGCCACCCAAGAAATAAATCAATGTCCACTGGGAATACATCCAGAAGGATGTTTAGGAGAAGACTCAGACTTAAACTTTCAACTAAGAGCCAGAAGCTCCTTTTCTTTGACTAGGCCACACCTTCTTAACAGCTCTTGGGCTCCATCTCATGCTCCAAGGTGAAGGTAGCACTTCCTGCTGCAACCAAAACAGAACACTCAAGAGGTTCTTGAATACAGCTGTATTTCATAGAAGGAAATAAAAGGAAATCCTCAGTTCCTGCTGTATCATGAAATCAGGGTGAAGCTTGAGGAGTTTTGTGACCAGAAGTTGTTAAGTAATATGACCAGGAGAAAGCAGAAATATTTTAAGTGTTGGGTGGCAGGTAGCATAAATAAGAATGGGTTGTTCCTGCCCATATCTGAACCCTAAACAGTATTTGGGTTACAAGGGAAAAGAATCCATACCCATTTATCTGGCAAGGTAATAAGAGTGGATATTAAGGGATATAAGGGAAGCTCCTTGTATACCAAGGGTGCCTGTAAAACTCCTCTGGGTGAGAGAGCAGTTCCATATATCTAAATGTTAATGCAGTTTTTTTTTCCTGGCACTAAACCCAGCTTTGCTGCAGTATGCAAATTCCTGCAGAATGGGAGTTGATAAAGCTGCAGCCCTTTTTTTCTGGGCCATCAACCTTGCCTTCTAGACAGTAGCCTCTAGATTTCTTCCAGTGCTTGAAATACATTAACTGGCTACTCAATGTCTTCATTCAGTTCCACAGCCATAAGGACTAAGTGCATGGAATTTGCCCCCAAGGACTCTATATAAGATTATTGCACTTGCTGAGACTACACAACTCCCATGCTCCTGGGCATCACCTGTGAAAAGAGCCTAATTGGCATCCAGAAAATAGTACCACCAGTCCTAAGTAAGGCAGACAGAGACAGAGGAAGCTCCAGCAGCAATACAGAAGACTAAAAAGAGTAGCCCTCAATAAAAACAAACAAAAACCAAAAACAAACTGCATTTTAAGTAGAAAGGGAGGACAGAGGAGGGAGACAGAAGATCTGAAGAAAGGAGCCACATGAACACAGCACAAAGCTGCAGCAAGTCTGCTGTATTCAGCAGCGTCTGTTCAGGGAGATAAAGGGGCCCAAGAAGTGCCAGGAGCTTGATGAAAACCCAGAGCTACATGAGGCACTACCTGAGCTAAACAGCCTCGAGGGAGAAGCAAGGAATAACTTGAGTTTAGTGCAGTCAGAAAGAGAAACAAAGATAGCCTGAAAACAGGCATTAGTAGCACAGCCACGCCTGGCAGGTGTCTTCATGCTGTGCACAAGCCTGACACTGACTTGCAGCTCCTCTGCGCACCATCAGATGCCGCTCTGCAGAGCTCTGCAACCAACCCAGCAGTCAGCTCCAACACCTTCTGGCAGA